GAACAAAAACATAAAGGCAACTAAAAGTTGACTGTGATGGATTATTCATTGGCAAGTTAAGAGAATCTGTCCTTTTAAAACATCATCAGTCCAATCTTTGCAATTACTGCAGAAACAGGGAGTGCTGATCTATTCCAACCACCAAGATAAGGTTTTTATAACAATGCTCTATAGCTGAGACATGTTGAACTGACCTGAACTCAGGTTTGACTCCCAGGTCTTTCTGCTGCAGCTCCTGCAGACTCCGCGTGGTTTTGTTGAAGGTAGCGTCCTGTTAACAACACTTATTTAAACACTGATATAGGAAAACTCAAGAGGACTGAGATAAAACTGATCAGACACTGACTTTCTGAATTAGGAAAGACAAAAGAGGAGATGTGTTTTCTGTATTAGTCTACTGCCAGACCTACCTGGCTTGCCTCAAGCGTTCCCACAAAGTTAAAGATTAAATCATGGACACCATGATGAACATACATCTGGGACATGAAGAAGAAGAACAAAGAACATTTTTGTTTACACAGCAGCTGCGAGGAAGCAAACACAAAGCAGACACGTGCAAAGAACTTGTCCACTTCAAAGGTCCCACAAAGCATAAAACTTATTTTAAAAAGGGTACAATCAGAAACGGATACAGCAGTAACTAACAATGTGCAAACCATGTGCCCACAGAACTCTTTGTACAAAAACATACACAGAATAGTATTATTCTCTTTTCAGAACCTGCAAAGGCCCGTTTTCAAAAAACAGCTCCAACACTTTAGGTGCTGTGTGAGGAGCTGGTGGAGTAGTGGGAACAGAGCAGAGGTCAGTGACTCCGTCTTCCTTCATACACTGTGAACGGTCCCGGATGTTCTTTTGGTGAAAACAAAACCATGACTGAAAAAACAAACACTGGTACTGAAGCATTTGTACTGAAGAAGAAAAAAAAAGTCATTAAAAAAAGTAATAATAAAAAAAAGACAGTTTTTCACTTCTCTGTCAGTGTTTTGGCATGGAGGGGAGGGCTTTGAGGGCAGGACTAAGGAGATCCATGAGGAGAGGACAGCCCTCTCCCCTGGGCCGCCGTTTGTATCAAGGCTTCTGTCTGCCATGCACGGCCGCATAGTTCCTGTGGTGGCTTCCCCGAATTCAGATGGAGCTCTCACGCTGCTGTGTTTCTCTCTGCTGGCATCTCTACTCAGAGCCAAGCTACGTTAAAACTCACTCTGAACCAACATTATGCTCCTGCAGCAGAGGCCTGCTGCAGCACGTGCTACTGTTAGCTACAGGTAGGCTATAGCTAATATAGGCGCAGTAATGTTAGATGACACCGAGTGGAACGGGGCTGAAGAATTTTAGGTCTGTCTGAAGCGGAAATATGCCAGTAGGGAGAAAGAGACGTTCTGAGAGCTACTGGCGAACTCAGGAAAGCTGCACAACGCTGATGCAGTGACATTTCCTCTGGTTTTACACCTCTGAATGTTAAGAAAGGGTTTTAAACATTCTAGAAAAACCTTCAACACTCAGTGACACTCACTTTCAAATTCATGAAAACTTTAGTTTATGGATAGTCACAATAAAGGACAAATATACTGTCAAAATGCCCTTTTTGTGCTGGAGGAAACAGTCTGCATATTTACGCCCTTTCGACAATGTAGGGACACCTGAGCTGCAGCTGAGCTAGCAGCACTATAGGAGAGGCTCTGCTGTGTGCGTGTCTCTCATCTGGGGTGTTTCTGTAACATAGCACTGCTGTTTCTCACAGTTCAAGTTACTGTTCATCAAACCTAAATACATACCTAAAAAAAAAACACTTATTATATTATTAGTATTAACATATGTCAGCAAAACAAAACAAAAATAATTTAGTGTGTAGGTACCAGTTAAATGGCTGCCTGAATAAATAAATTTGTACTGCAACTACCCTGACTGTGTACAGGACAGTAAGTACTGTTAGAAAACCATGTGTTCCATAAAGTAATCCCATGATTCACCGCTGGAAGTGGAGAGAGTGAAGTTGAGGTGAAAAACCACAATAAGTGAAGTTACCTCCACTGCCTGTTTGAGAAGAGTCATCTGAGGTTCCTGCTTTGCCAGAAGTTTCTGTAGAGAAACAGCACAATCATCAGAGCAGTGCGTACAGAGAAATGCATTTTTCACTTCACGTTATGTGATGCAAATGGCAGAAACTGACCAGAGACTCAGACGGGACTGGGCAAAAACAGTTACATCATCTTATTAATGAGACACTCGGGTGTCGTGTGGTATCATTAATGATCTACATGTGGCTTGAATCCCAGTTAAGATGGATCATTAAGAGGTCTGACTCCTCGTTCATAAGTTACCCTGTCTAGTCTCACAGAGAAGCTAAAGGTGCATTTGAGCTTTAGAGTTGTAGTAGGTCATTACACATTTTGTAAGGCTCTACTAAAAATTCCTCACATTCCTCTGCCTAGTCTTCCAGTTTGTGCCCTCCACAACCCCCGATGGTTGTGTACAGGTTGTGTAATAGGAGAGAAAAGAATCAGAACTGGGCCAGATGATTTCAGCCAATGAGCAAAAGGAGCACTCTTGTGAGTTGACAGCATGGAGGAGTTAGGGTTCTAGTTACCACCTACATAGCTAAACAACCACCAGGGGAAGAAAGAGAGAGAAGAACAAAAACAGAAAAAGGCAGCATGTCGGAGAGCTGTGAAAACAGAGCTATGTGCCACTGTCCAAAGATGGCTAGAGCTCCAGGACATAAAAAGGATGAGGATGGATACAGAGGGTGTTCTTTTTCTGCTGGACAGGTGGGTAAATCGTTTGCTCCGTTCCACTGAAAAACATCGTGGCTAATATGTTGTTGTGCAATTAGGGGACCTCTGTCACAATGCTATATTAACAAATTACATTAGTCACATTAGCCTGTTTGATAAAATCAACTTTTCCTGCGACTTTCAGCTAGATATCTAGTTTGCAAATGTTGTGATTGTTGCGATGTTACCTATAGCAGCTGGAGGTTGTTGTGAGAGAATAACTGTGGAGTTACATTTTTGTAGCTAACTTTGTTTGTGTGTATGTATGTTTGTGTGTGCACACACCTCATGCAAGACTTGCATCTATATCTATGTTCACTCACATATCGAGAGTGTATGGAGTACAAAAACACACAGAGGAGCCTACAGAAACCCCCCAGGGACAAAGTACAGAGTGAGGAGAATTAAGAGCTACAGCTCAAATGCATGCATGTGTGCAGTGTGTCCAACCCATGGTGAAACACAACAAATAAAAACTAAACACACTTTAAAAAGAACTGCAGGTTCAGTAGGACTGATGGAAGATTCTGCTGCTTCTATTACCTGTTGCACCGGTTTCCATTTGGAGAATAACAATTGCACTTTAATGTTAGTTGGAGGTTTGTTATAGAAAACATGGAGCTCTTTTTTATTTTGAGAGTGTGAGAAAGAGGGAAAATGTAAAACTTTAAATTTTTATGTTTCATTTTTCATAAAGGAAAGGTTACACAAATGTTTGTGTATGTTGTCAATTAGTTCTTAGAAAAAAAAAAAGTTCAGAATTTGCCAAAATTGAAATCGGCAGGTCAGATTTTTATTTAAAATCAGTAATCAGCTTTAGCCATGAACATTGCAATTCGTGCATCTCTAGTAACTGCTGTTTTATGATACAGATCAAAGAAAGCAGCAAAGCCTCACATCGGCATCAGTCTCTGCTGTCTCTGTACTCACCAGGCGAGAGTCCCTCAGCAGACACTGAAGACATTTGGTGTAGAGACCGTTCACCGAGTCCTCAGAGGAGACAGGAGCTATCAGTTCTCAAATAAACTGAATTACTGTATATATTATAATTACTGTTTACCTTAATATTTATCTCAAATACACAGAACCTCTATTTAAACTTTTAAAACAAATGTGTTTAATTTCCATTACTTATTTTGTGCTTTTCCATTGTATTAACCATATATTTCAATAATTATTGCTTTTAATACAGTTAATTATTAGAATAAAATAAATTCAAAGATCAACACACAAATCTGCTGCAGGAAGGTAATAAATTAAGAACTAGAGGGGGCAAAAAGATAAAATGGAGAGACAAGGAAAGAAGGCCGAAAAAGGTGAAGATGAAGAATTGAAGTAAATGAAGGAAACTGCGGTAAAGGTAAATAAAGAAAGGAAATGATGGGAATAGAACAAAGACAAAGGAAGGAAAGGAAGCTAACAACAAAAGCACAACAAGACTCAAGAGTTCGTCCTACTATGTGGTGTCGGAGTCCCTTCCTCTCCTGCTCTTTGAAGATCTGACAGAAGCTGTGGATGAACTTGTCCAGTTTCTGGGCATGGTGGCCCAGGAACGTCCGCACGTCCTCCAGGCTCTTGAGGCAGTAGGGAGGCAGTGGGCTGAGCTCAGACGGGCTCGGATCCACCTCGACAGGCCAGGCGATGCACAGGATACTGTAGCACTGCTCCTGGTCATTGTAAAAAGTTTCCTCAAACAAGATGGGGACTGATGCTGGAGTGGGGAAGCCAGAGCCCAGCAGGACCTGCCTATCCTGGATCCTGACCTCCTGAAATCCGCAACAAGACCAACAAGTATGGTAGAGCATTTTTCACTGTCGCAGTAAGAGCAAAACGAAGGTGAGTGAATCATCACCTTCTGAAATTAACAATGTTGACACATTCATTCAGTGAGGGTTGGGTGTTAGGAGCAGGTGCCATAAACACGAAAAATGAACTTCTCTGCAGAAAACGTCAAACTTTTCAAATGTTTTAAATATAAAGTGTTAAAAAAAACCCATCTTGACTTTTACTGGCATCTTTGGCCATTATACAGTGAAACGTTACACAACTTCGATGTATATGAACTTGGGGGGTCTGTTTAGTTTTTTTAGCGGTTATGTTTTTATATGGTTTTATTTTGTGTTATTTTTTTTTATTGCTGTACCAACTGGAGGTCACTAAACGTTCATTGTACGTGTTACAATGACAATAAAGGCTTATCTTACCTTATATAATAGCATGAAAAGCACAGGTGTTAGGAAAAACAAAATACTAATGACTACATTTTGCTAAGGTGTACAAGCTCCAGGTCCTGCAGTGTTGATCCCATGAAATATGTCTTTTTGGATTGTCTGTATCTTGCATTTCAGACTGCACTGTGCTATACAGTATTAATATACACCAATCAGCCATAACATTATGACCACCTGCCTAACGCTGTTTACATAGGAGTCCCTGTGGCAGACGGTCGGCACTCGTGTCACTCTGCAGCTCACTGTGCATCTTCTGTGAATCCACCTGCTTCCACAGTTCTACTGTCAGGAAGAGCACAGATGTGTCTACAATTCAGTGAAAAACTTATGTAAAAGGAGTGAAAACTGGTCATGAGGACGAGTTAGAGAGAATGTTTAGACAAATCTAAGCCTCACCGCTCTAGGTGTGATATCACCACTACAGCCTCCGACTCTTTCTCTTCAATGAGACCAATGTACAGTGTTTCTCATTTTCAACCATTTTAACAAAGATTCAAATTAATTTTAATCATCTGTAAATTACAAATGGAAGTTAAAAGTTTAATCTACAGTAGATCAACCTCATCTTCAGTGAGCCGTGGGCGTCCATGACCCTGTCTCCAGTTCACCATTTGTCCTTCCTTAGACACTGTTGGTAGGTACTAACCACTGCAGACCAACAACACCCACCAAGACCTGCAGTGTGGGAGATGCTCTGACCCAGTCATCTCACCATCACAGTCTGGCCCTTGTCAAAGTTACTCACACCCTTACACTTGCCTGTTTTTCCTGCTTCCAACACATCAACTTTGAGGACTGAATGTTCACTTGCTGCCTAATGTACCCCCCACACTGACAGGTGCCGCTATAACAGATAGTCAGTGTTATTCACTTCACCTGCCGGTGGTCAGAATGTTATGGCTGATCGGTGTATCAGTCAACTACATACAATGCTGCCTATTTTTGGGATAATGTTTTCAAAAATTGTGACGGACACAGAAGACAAACCTTTCCATCCACAGTCTGGTATCCATCCTCCACAGGCTGCAGGACATAGCTGTCAAACTGAGAGTCTGAGTAGTTGCTCACAGCCAAACCTCCACAACATGGAATGAGGACCTGCAGGTTTATAGCAACATTTTCACCTGCATTAAAAATAATCAAGCTGCAGTTAGCTTGACTTATGTAAAACCAATTCCGATCCATGTATAATAACTGAATAATTTGTTCTAGCTGTTGAAAGAATATGGAAAAGCAGATTTTGGTAGTGATCCAGTGGAGGTAGTTATAAAGCTCTATAGGTGTCCTTTACAGACCCACAACACAGATCCAGTGTCTTATCCCACCTGGTTAGACATAAAATGTATAGATAAACATCCAAGTGCTTTTTTAAGAGAGACACTTAAAATCCCCCAGTATAAAGGCACCAGATGGAAAATATTTCAATCACCAGCTCCAGCATTTATGTGGTACCATAATTTGCACTGTGATTCAATCCACTAGATATTGATCATATAGGAACCAGTGCCAGTATGACACCAGTTTTCGATACCCCAACCCTAACAATTAATGACTTCAGCAGTTCCTCATTCCCCAGAAGTGAAGTCTAATAAAATCAATTCTTGATAAATGGTCAGCCATTTCTTCAAAATCTGGAGCCTTGAACAATTACATATTTTTTAAAAGTTTGACAGACATAAAAGGGTAGGCAGTGTTTGAAATACAGGAGAGCCAGGGGGTCTTAGCTAGAGCCAAGCTCTTCGAGAAGCACTGTAAACAGATTTATTGAATAGATGATGACACGTAGCTCTTCCAGCTTCCAGTAAAGATGAAAAACCATCAGATCTATATAATAATAATCATAATAATAATAATAATATAGCCTACCTGCAGAGTTTTAATGTACCCAATTAGAAACTGTTCACCTAGACGAACCAACTCTTAGTATTCATATAACATTAGCGGACAGAAACATGCATTTATTTGCATTTTCTTTTGTCATTTGCTACATTTGAATATAATTGTGGTTAAATCCAAAGAAAACATGAATTCCTGCATGTGTTTGATTCTACTTTCTTTCACACAGAGGTGCTGAGCAGTGTGAGCCTCGGTGCAAGTCCAGAATGAAAACATGTAGCCCAACTCTTCACCAGTACACCATATCACCACAAAGATTTTTAGCTAACTCGCTTCAAGCAGGATGGTGATACATACAGGCTTGTTGTTGACACACTGTAAAATCTAGCTAAAAGCTCGAGTCAATCAAAGGAGACGCCAAATGTGACTCACAATGCCATGAAACTCTGCTACTCGGTTGCATAGGTCTGGTCTCTGTTTCTTCAGTGCCAAGTAGAAGGGATTCGTCAGGATGTTCTCATCATATAGAGCCATAAGGAGCTGAAGTCTAGGTCCTGTAGAGGAGGGAAAGGATAACGAGAGGAAGCAATTAATTAACAAAGCTTCAAAAAGGTGCTATTAAGGAGAATAATCACAGGCATGCTCACATGCTAAGTGAGCTATAAGCAGAAATGTATTCAGTTCATATTTCTCAAAAGAAATTTTGATTACTATTACAAATTCAAATGCGCACTACAGAAATTCATGAGAAATCTGAGCAAACTGTAAAAGAGGATACAGTTATACTTCGGTGAAATCTTTTGAGCTGCAGCACACATGGGAAATTTTGTGATAAATCCACTTTGGAATTTTACAGAGCCATTATCAAAAAGCTGTCCCCATATTTGAGTACATGTCACATTGGATATGATTTTATGAAATGAAACAGGATCTCAAGTGGCACAGCCACACTAGCAGGTCTGTGAGGGTCTGGCCTCATTATGGCACTACAGAAGATGGAAAGGGATCCCCAAAGTAATTAAAATTCATCCTGACAGGAACATGCAAGTCTTTCACAAATTTCATGTCAATTCATCCAATTGTGTCAAGACATTTCACTCAAAGCCACTTCAGGTCTCTCAGGACCTTACTATTGATACTACTGCTACTACCACTACTGAAAGTACAACAACTGCTGCTGCCGTCACCGCTAGTGCGAGTGCTTCCACCCTTCTACTGATACTGAACTGGATACTACAGCTCCCACTACAACTCCAGTAACACCTGCTACTATGACTACAGTGGAAACAACAGCCGCCACGGTCCAGGTCTCTCAGGACCTGAAGTGGATGTCCAACATCAGCACCATCACCAAGAAGGCACAGCAAAGGATGTACTTCCTGCTCCAGCTCGGGATGTTCAACCTGCCCCAGGAGCTGCTGACACAGTTCTACACTGGAATCATCGAATCTGTGCTTTGCACAGACCAGCACCATAATGTCTGGTTTGGCTCAGCAGCCAAACAGGACAGAAGCAGACTCCAGCGGACAATCAGGATTGCTGAGAAAAGTATTGGAACCAGCCTGCCCTCCTGGAAGACGTGCACAACTCCCTAGAGTGTGGATACCCGAACTGAGAGGTGAAACCTCTTCAAACTAAAAAACCTAGACCAGTTGATTTTTCTAAATTTTTTCACCTTAATCCATGTCAATATACTTTAAATATACCCATTTTACAGGGATATACAAATCTGAAAGCTCTTCTGCCATAATGTACATATAAAGTATATGTATATTCATAAGTACTGTCTCAATCTAGCCACAGGGGTTGCAAGCCAGTGACTTCTGTGCCGGTCCCAAGCCTGGATAAATAGAGAGGGTTGCGTCAGGAAGGGCATCCAGTGTAAAAACATGCCAAATTTAAACATGCGAATCATCAGTGCGAATTCCATAATGGAT